GTTGCCACTTGAGGTGCTCTCGAAACAGGAAATCAAGTTGGTAGATTACTACTCTAAATTAGGATGTACAATATTGATTAGGTTGTACAATATTAGTTTTGATTGTTCTTGTTGTACGATGTCGTTACTAATTGTGGATCAATGGTGTAATTTTGTTAGTGGGATAAAGAGCAAAGAGTTGTGTACATCAATTTGTATCTTGTTAATTTGAAGGTTATATTTATTTGATTGTTTTGTAGGTAAGGTGTGAGCAAGAGAGGGAAAATCTTGCGCTTGTTCTTGTAAAAGATTGTTAAAATTTGGCCAATGCTATATTCTTTACACAATCATATCAAAAAAAATAGCTTGTGCATGTTTGTGCATATGATTAAGGTTTTTGCTGTGGATTGGAGTCTAGATGGTGAGAATGTAGCTAAAGTAGCATTTGGTAGGTGCATGGGTAGAGTTTTGAAGCTGTTGACAAGTTAAATGGTCGTAAAGTGAGAAGAACGATATGTATATGAAGGTCTACATGAACGTTGGTTTTTCTCATTCATGAATTTCTTTAAGACAGTGAAAAAATAGGAAGCATCATTACACTCCTGCAAATTTGGCGGTGATGTTATGAATTGAGTAATTAGCTGGCATGCAAGTGTCACAAAGTCTGAGTTCAAGTTTTATTTTGTTAATTTATGATTTGTTTGTGTAAGTGGGTCATTATATTTCATAATTCATAGGACAATAAACGTTTGAATTTTTAATGAATGATGTATTATATTGTTCAGTTTTCATGTGATTATCGCAAAAGTGTTGAAAATAAAAGATACACATATTCAATATATAAAATAGTAAGCGACAATTATAAAAATACATAAACAACAATGGCATATTTATAAAAGAAAATTGTTTGAAAAAGGTAAACATGGTAAAAAAAATCATTTCTGTTTTCATTGTTTGCTACAACCAAACAAGGGAATTGATTCTCAGGTATAAATCTCTGTTGTATCAAACAATGGAATCAATTCTAGTTCTCTAACTTAATTCTCTTTCTCTACATTTTTATTCTCTGCTGCAATTCCATTTCCCTGTACCAAACACCCCATTAGTTCGTTTGGATTAGGTGGCCAAGATAATGCACATGAAACCCTTCACTTGTGATCCGTCACACATGCTCTTTGATAACTGGGTCAAACTCATCCAACATTTGAATGTCACCTAAAAAAAATTTCATTACCTGTTAAATACAATTAACAAATGAGAACTGGAATCAGTCATCATAATTAACAAAAAGTTATTTGGTGGAACTGGAACAAAAAAAATACAATTTATAGGTACCTTTTTTATACAACTTTTCGTTAGATCCACGAAATGCAAAATTATGTTTAGCAAGAAAATTCACTACCACTACAAGAAAAACGCGATTTTGCTAGGGAAGGTCGTTATGGAACGTATTTTCGTTGTTAATCTGAAATGGATCGTGCTATGGAATGTCGTTCCATAGCAAGGTTGCTACCACATTGTCTACGAACTTTATTTCCGGTAGCGAGAATGAGACTTGCTAGGGAAAATGCTACCGACTCCATATCCGTTGGTATTATGCTATCGATATTTCTATGGAACAAAAATTCGTAGCAATTTTGCAACGACATTTGTTATGAAATCACTTTTCGTTGTACTGCTGCTATGGAATTAATTATCGTGGTTACTATGCAACAGACTTTGTGACGGAAACCAATTCCATAGTTGATTTGCTATGGAAGTATCATTCATAGGTATTTGCTAGGGAATTCTGCTATGAAATTTGATTTCGTTTGCTTGTTTTGCTATGGAACAAAAAGCCTAGCTAATTTGTGACGACATTTGTTACGAAATTATATTCCATAGCAACGTTGATAAGGAGTAGTTCAATTTCATAGATATTTAGCTATGGAAATTTGCACCGGAAATAAAACTCGTGGAATCATTAATTTCATTAATGTGGCAGCCCATGGCCCATATGTCGTCCACGGGTATTATCATGACACTATAAGCAACTCATAATATAAACACTAAAGTAACATACACTAAATTAACATATTTGTTAAAATTTGATAATTATAACACAACCATTTACTTTTAATAACATAATATAAAGACTAATATGTATATATATTAAAACTTGACCAAGTCTAGTAAGTTTTTGTTGACTTTCATTTTTGCCACACGACTTTTCAAAATTTTACGTTTTTAGTTCCTTAATAACAACAAAACATATTTACTAATCAAGTAAAAACATCAACTAACTACTTATCAAGTAAATTACTATATATTCATATATCAAGTAACTACTTACCAAGTAAATTACTATATATTCATATATAAACAAACTACTCATAAATGATCCGAAACTCCCTAGCAAACCTAACGAAAAAAGAATCCCACAAACAAATTTCACACCTAAACACCCATTTGTATCCTTCAAAAAAAGCGTCTGTAACCCTAATCACAGACCTATACATTACACAAGTTCTATGTAAGCCATGGAAGTGTACATGTTTTCTCCCGTCCCTATCTAAGTGGAAATGAACATTGGAACAGGTTGCTCGAAGATTCCAAGTACCTTTTGTTCTTCGGTAAGCATTGTTCAACATGTCCAAAGCTTCTTGCTTCCTCTGTCTACCTTCTGCCATCAGCATCATTCCCAGGACAAATGTTGAATCCAAATATCCCAATGTAGACGCTTCTTCAAGCATCATTTTCCCTTCATGATCAGCTTCCAAGAAAAATAAATTACTCTAAAAAAACATTAAGCAAATAATTTCTAGTTAAAGTAATGCAAAACAAGAAACAAATTAATACTATGCATATATATATATATATATATATATATATATATATATATATATATATATATATATATATATATAACAACGTACCAATCCATCCCTGAACATAATATTTGGGTTTCTCATCTCTTTGCATTTGTTGACAACTGCATATTTCTCTTCAGTCCAACGATGAAATCGTAATCCCTCTACCTCCATATGTTTGTATATTTCTTCTGTTTTTACTGCCTCGTTCAAGATTTTGCAACTACAAACGAAACAAAAATGTTGGCCCCTAACTGTAAGCACAAAAGCAATAAACACGTGCAATAGAAGGATCGAAGACAAAACTTACACAGTCTTCATCTTTAAAGCGTCGACTGCAGAGAATTTTCCCACCTCCACTATTATCTTCTCAATTACTTCCAATGACACGTGAGTTAGCGATTTGCTTTGCTTTCTTGATTGCATCATCGAAGAAGTAGTTGCTTCCATAATATTATTAGCCGACTTAGTTAGCGATTCTATAAAAACGATTTTAGGGTCTTTGACATTATGACTTCAGTTTTTTGAAATAGATGGGGGTTCCAAATGCAAAGAAAACCACCAGGCCTGCCAATAGAGTCAATGCCCTCAAAGTCAAAATTAGAGGTATCCCAACATCCCATGGTGTTAATTTTAGTGAAGTCTTAGATGCATGTTTCTTGAATTCTAATGAAATTTATTTTGTTTCTATTCTTGAGTTTCTTAACCCATCCCACCTTGGCATCTTCCTCGATGCCCATGATATTTAGACTCAATCAATTCATTGCTCACAGTTGAATTCACCTTATTCGCCCATGACTTCCAAGAGAATCACATCTCTAGAATCAATATGGAATCTGACAGTTTCCCGCACTTCTACGGTTGCTTCAACCTCCTGTGATAAGGTGGGCACATTGTTACTTTCTGAAACAACATCAGAGGTTGAGCGGAAAGTTGGATTTTTGTTTAGGTCAATAGGATTGGAGTGGTTGGGAGCGAGGTTTCTGGCAATCGGTGGGAAGAGATTTTAAGGGTCACAAAGAGCGTCTGTAGGGGAGGAAGCGTTTGGACGGTGAGGAGAGTTAGATTTTTGCCCCGATTTGTTGACCCTCTTTCTTTTTCTCCCTGGACCCCAATTGTTATGTAGGGAATTAATCTTCATAACCTGCTTGGGTCGAGAATCTTATTGGATTAATGGAAGTTGGGAATGGCCCAAACAACCAAATGGAAGTGTTACTGGGAACATCTCCCCCATTTGGGTCCCATTTCCATGTCTCTAGGACTTTCTCGTGCACACGTCATCATTATTGGAACTAGGTCAATTAATGTAGTTAACGTCGTCGTTTCCTCCCGATGTAAATACCTCGAGAACCGGAAAATATGGGATTTCAAGAGTCGTACCATCAACGGGCAGATTGGACGTCGCCGAATCCGTCAATGGAGCCTCTCCGACCGACTCTGATCCTTCCATTGGCACCTCCATCACTTTATCTTTGTTACCAAAGATACTCTCTGCTCTATATTCCCCATCCCTGCGGCTCCGCCTCATTCTCATGTATCCATGTTTCAGATATAGCATCTTCTTCATCTGTGTCTTCTGTATCATCACATTTTTGTCAAACGGGAGGGGTGTAAAAGGTGACCAATCGTCGGTGTACTCAATGGCGCCGACACAAATTATTTCTCCTCCTGCAGAGACCATTACTTCTTCATTAATCCATCTCCTTGTCGACGTGATGATACCCACTTTCCCCATCGAGTAAGCCTCCTGGTTCCGATGTTGTCAAATGGATGAGTCGCCCATCCAAATCTTCCTACAATGATAGAGAATGTAGCCTCGTCCCATAGTCTTAGGGAAAGGCCGTTCATTTTTATCCAGACCATTCTTTTAAAGCGGAGGTCTTTTTGGTCTCCCTATATCAGCCACTTGAACCATTCACTCCAACTATTCTTGTTCTCTAGGAAAGCTTTAGTACTGGCCGAGCTTCCCATGGCAATGACGATGTTTAAACCTCCTAGATATTTGATGTGGTCCCCATTAATTAATGATGTTGGGATGTTTGCAATGTGATCAAGGCTATGTGATTCCCCAATAAGTACTCATTTATTGAGCCAACTACACATTTATGTATTGACCTTGACTGCAATGGGGGGGGGGGGGAGGGTAGGAGGGAGCCCTGTCACAGAGGCAACCTATGCAAAGGATCTCCGGTCTCTGAACACACCAGAAGTATTAGCATGTCGCTGGAATTGGGGTTGCAGATGTTGTTTATGAGTTGCATTAGTCAAGGCTTTGGAAGAGTTCCTTCGGTGCTTGCCTAGGTTTACTTTGAGAACATTCTCATTGCACTTGATACCTTGTAGAGCGTTTTCCAACGCTAATTCATCTTTCACCCTATTGAAACGGATGAAAGCAAAGTGTTTACCGTTACGATTCTTCTTTGGAGGGATGAATACGTCTACCACCTGACCAAACTTGGTGAACGGGGATCTTATTTCAGCCAATCTATAATCATTGGGTATGTTGGATACATAGAAGGTGGTTTCCATACTGGTGTTAACCAAATGTTTCTTCCTTCGTACTTCCGTCCTCGCGCTGATTTGTCGGTGACCTTTCGTCATCCCAACGGAGAGAAAAATCATTTATTATTTAATAATCAACAATATTTACATTTGTAACTTTAATTAATTATAAGCACTCTAGAAAAAATAAAATAAAATTACCGAACAAATCAATCATTGTGCAATACATCACACATAAAAACATTTGTTTCTATCTTTCCTCGCCTTCCACATTGTATTTATAATAATATACGTATAAAAATATTAAATTTATACATTGTATGATAAAAATACTCTCTTTATCATAAAAAATAGAATTTGAAATTGACACTTAAGGGCTAATAAATGTAAAATTAAATATGAGATATGTTAATAAATTTTTGTTTGATTTTTTAATAATAATACACTTTCCTAAAATTATAAATTTATGCCATAAATTTATTGTTTTCTTTATATTAAATAAAATAAAAATCACATTTTTCACATTTGTTTCTAGTATAAAAAGATATGAAGTATGGATACGAGACAGAGTTGAGGAGTTAACAACTTAACACTGAATTTGAACTTTGAAGAGTTCTAAATGCTTTGACCAGCCGAGGTTTGACCACTCCCTTCAAATTCTATACGACAGACTTTCTAGTTTTATTTTGCATAAAAACTCCCTCCATTTCTTCCATTTGATGTTTTATATCAAAAGATTTTGTTTACTTTTGACCCTTCAGTTCAAAATTCAACAATTTTTCCAAAATAAGCCCACCATTTTCTCATCTTTTTATATGATGCATTTTAAATATGGTCCGTATCATGCCATAACCATATGATGGTTTTCATACTTATTGTTGGGTCTAAAATTATGGTTTATACTTTGCTTTTCTAGACAAATGTATTTTTATGTCTAGGACCGTAAACAGCTTGGTGTTTACGGATGTATATGAGTTTACGGCTGTGTTTACGGCCGTGAACAGGTTTACGGCCGTAAACCCATTCACGGCCCATGTCTACTATATATAGTGAGGAGTGCATCTAGAGAGAATAGCTAGTGTGTGTGAACTATGTGTATGGAGCATCATTCTATTCATTGAATACATCATAGATTCACTTATTCTTCTTCTCCTTCTCTTCTATTTTGATCTGGCATCATCCGTTTGATTGGGATTCCGCACCATCAAACGGATCTGATTGATACACAAGCAGATTGGGGACTTACAATTGGTATCAAAGCTTGGATTGTATCAATCATTTTTGTCAGATCTGGAGCTTATTTGATCTTATTTTTGACGGATTTCTGCGTTTTTGGATAGATCTTGGCAAAATAAGGGGGGTTTGTTCTTCGTGTTTTTGATAAAAAAGGGTTTTTGATCGAGTTTTGGAGCTACAAAGTCGAAAAACGTTATTTTTGGTCGTAACCAGCGAGGGGGTGGCGGCGTGTACGGCCAGCAGCTAGGGTTTCCAAGGAGTTTAAGGCCAGAGTTTACGGTCGGAGTTTGCGGCCTCGGAGTTTACGGTCCGAGGTTCACGGCCAGCAGCAGCATCGCACGTGTACGGTCCGAGGTTCACGGCAAGCAGCAGCATCGCACGTATACGGTCGGGGTTTGCGGTCCTCGCCTCGGATTGGTTCCAAGCCTCGCTTCGGACGTTTACGGCTCGGCTTCGCTTCATTCTCGTCCTCGCTTCGCATCGCATCGCTTCGCATCTCAGCATCCTCCCAGCGTGTTTCCATTAAAAAAAGGAATCGATTTCGGGGGTGACGGGGATCGAACCCGGGTCTCCTCCCAAACCAACCAGCGCTCCTTCCAACTCTTCTAGGCTACGAGTTCATACAATCCTTCCCTTTTTAAATCTTAAGGCGTCCTTATTTCGATTCAACTTTCGCATTTTTACACTTTTAACCCCCAAAACAATTTCCTTTTAACTTTAAATTTCTTTTTTAACCCAAAAATTTTAGTTTTTAATTTTTGACTTTTAATTTTGACCTTTTACTTAAAATTTTGATTTTTACTTTTCAAGTTTGACTTTTAAGTTTGACTTTTTTAAGTTTGACTTTTTAAATTTGACTTTTAATGTTGACTTTTGAGTTTTTAGTCAAAGGGCATATTTTAAAAAAAAATGAGTTCCTCAAACCTCCCGGTCACTAAAGTTTCTTGTTCTCAATCTTGTGAAACTACTATTAAATTTTTGCGTGACCAAATCGAGTTGATTAAGAGAGAAAATGAGGACCTAAAATACGAAGGATATCAACTCAGAAAAGGGCAAAAACCCTTAAAAGAAAAATTAGAAGACAAAACTAAGGACTTCAGAAAATTGCAAGAAGATTACAGCAACAAGTGTGTAAATTATGATCACATCAAAAACAAACTTGCTGTTGTAACCAAAGAACTTGACACTTTGAAAATTAAGTGTGGAAAAACAGATGTTAGTTTCAAAAATTATATTGCGTCAAGTAAGACAATCGAGTCCTTAGTTGAAAAACAATTGAGTTTTAAAGATAATCAAACCAATGGTCTACGGTATGATAAAGTCCCTCCTCCATTTAATCATTCATATTATGTTAATCCTTTGACTCAGGAAGAGATTGACCGAGAACCATTTATGGTATACGGTAAACCAGCTGCTGAACAGGCAACTGAGGGTGTTGAGATGAAAGATACTAATGATTCTACTTCCTGTGCAGGTAAAGCAGTAGAGGATGAGAACAAGGAGAAAACTACTGAACAAACAAACGACCCCTTGAAAACTCTAAGTCTGTTGCTTCTAAGTCAGTTACTTCTGACAAACCTGCGGTTGAGAAATACAGGCCACCAATTCCAGTGAAACAAAGTGCTTGTTGCAAGTGTGCATGTGGGAACAACGAGCGAAAAGGCAAAGACACGCCACCAGGGGCAGGAAGAAACAACTCCTACGTGAAGAAGCAGACTTGCTTTCACTGTGGAACAACTGGACACATTGCCCGAAACTGTCCAAATCGCGCATACGTTCCCTACTATGCACAAGGGTGGCAGAACGCGCCAAGAGGGAGATTTTCCAAAAGAAACCCCTTAAGGTCATGTTCAGACATTGGCGAATGGAATGCCAAGAAGGCCAAGAATTCAACTCCCAAGGCCAAGAATCCAACTCCCAAGGTCAAGAGGGGTACGCCGGCCAAGAAGTCCAATCGAAGAGATGCTCCAGCGAAATCAAGATCAGTCAGATCAAAGTCATCTCAACGATAGGCTTCCAGTTCAAAAGCAAGTACTGAGGCACCCATCGGATCGAAAAAGAAAATGGGTTAAACCCAACTACAGATGGGTACCAAAGGTTCAATCTCCCAAATCACCTAATGATTCTAATATTTCTACATCTTCTGTTTGTGATAAGCAGGACATGTCATGGGAGAGAGTTCCTTGCGTAGATGACAAAGGTCAACCCAGTTTCAAAATGGACTGGGTTCCAAAGACCAACTGATCCCGCCCTGTGCTGGAGCAGCTATGGAGGCATATCATCAGACTTTGGTTTGTTGATAATGGCTGTTCCAGGCACATGATAGGAGGCATCTCTCAATTGTGCAACATTCAAAACTTTGTTTGAGATTATGTGTCCTTTGCGGGAAAGGAAGAAAGGAGAGGATCACACATGAGTTTTGTGCTCAATGACATGAAGAATTTTCGGATCTGTTATGAGATTATGCGTGCTGTTCTCACACTTTCTGGATCGAAATTCAATCGATGACTTACGGTTTGAGTTTTCTTCTCTATACTCCTGAGTTTATCTTACACTGTTTCATTTCAAAAACATTTTCCTTTAATTTTCTTATATGTCTTTCTTTAGTAGGTTGTTTTGGGAAGTGATATGAAGTATAGTGCTCAAGGGAAATTTATGATGCGTGTAATGCACTAAAGCCGAATTGTCTAGACTCTGTATTCAATGTGTTGGTAGGCACAAAGGATTCAAAAGGACTAGACATTGATTGACCATGAAAGGACCAGACAATATAGACTTAGATAGTTTCATTTGGACTCACCATACGACGCTCGGGTAGATTGAGCAGTGAGATAAACGTGGGAACCTGCGCGATACACTAAAAGTTAATTATCTAGAACTGTGGCTCAACATTTCCTTGATGTATGGACTCATGTCCTTAATTTCGGTATTGATAGGACAACTGGGGGGTTCTGATAAAGTAGGTCTGTAGGAAATTATTTTCTTGCTTTCTATCTGTCAGTCATATGTTGCTTCATTTGCGTGATTGGAACATATCCGACCTGGAATGCAACATATGCAACTCTATCTCTATGCATTTCCATAACTATAAAATTCTTTCTATCTGTTAGCCATATGCTGTTCCCTCTGCGTGATCGGAAGATCCGACTTGGGACACAGCATATGCAGTCTACTATCTCTCTAAACCCCTATCTATGTTAGTCATATGTTGTACCCTCTGTGTGATTGGAAGACATCCGACCTGGGATACAACATATGCACTTCTATATCTGACTTCTTTCTTAATGATTGAATACTCACATAAAGTAAGGAGTTCTTTGGAAGTTCTTGATTACCGGGGTATATCGGGAAGTGGGAAACACGTTCTAGTACATCTAAAATTGAACCATTTAATAGGTTGTCTGTAGATCTTGCTGCTTAATTTAAGTGCACAAAAATATCATTGGTCGTCGTCAGCTAAATGTCCATTTAGGAATATATATCACAATGACTTGTCACTTATAATCTGTCCAAATTGTCAACATCCTTTGTGTTTAAGTGGACCACAATGCCGGTGATTTACCAGATCTAGACATGCAGGCGTGTGCTGATAAAAGATATTTGATTGCTTGACAACTTTGATCCCAAATATTTTTGTTTTTGTTAAATTTGTTCATAGTTTTCCTCTATGTACAAATTTAGGGGGAGAATTAAAAAAATTCAAAAATCATACAAAAATCAGAAAATTAAAAATAAAAAAATAGTGTCATTTATGTTTTATTTCTTGTTCAAGAAAATCAAAAATCCAAAAATATTTTTGTTTCTGTTTTATTTCTTTCAGAAAAAAAAAATCCAAAAATATTGTGTGCTAAGTTTTGTTTTAGTTTTCTTTTGTCTTAAAAAAG